AGAGACTTGGTTATCTCCTGCAATTCCTGACAACTTGGTATCCTTGTCCAATTTCAATCTGTTTAGGAACGATAGACTGGTTTCAAACGGCGGAGGTGTTTGTGCCTACATAAATAGCAATATCTATTGTAGACGAATTGAGGAATTTGAAAACTCTTCGATTGAATCACTGTGGTTATCAGTGAGACCAAAGAAGTTACCCCGCTCTATCTCGGTTATCTTACTGGCTGTTGTTTACCATTCAACAGCATCCCGCCAAACTGAAAATGTAGAATTGTATTCACACATTCAGACCAATGTGGACTCATTTTTATATTCCCACCCTGAAGCTTTGGTCCTAATTACGGGCGACTTCAATTTTAGAAGCACGGGTCTCGATGCAAACCATCTTAAAAGAATTGCTGGTCTGACGCAGATAGTCAAGGTAGCTACCAGAGCTGATGTAACTTTAGACTGGTGTTTAACCAACTCAAAGGTGGATAATATTTACGAATCAATCCAACTTCCTCCCATTGGAACCAGTGATCATTATACGATTCTTATGAAAGCCCAACCTTCTCCCTCAAAGCCAGACAATTCACATATATGGAAACGTGATCTCAGAGATAGCAGGATACGGCCTTTTGGACGATATATCACTACATTTGACTGGTCTCCTATCTTGGACATACATGACTGTGATACAAAATATGAAAAGTTTAACGATACAATGACTGTGATGATTGAAAAATTCTTTCCCTTGGAACGGATTAAAGTACGAAAGTGTGATAAGCCTTGGATGACGTCATCAATAAAGTCTGCTAGTGGGAGACGCCAAAAAGCCTTACACGAAAGCGGGAAAAATTCAGATATTTATAAATATTGGCGTAACAGAGTCCAATCATGCATTAAAGTTGCACGAAAGATCTACTATATGAGGTCAGTTGAGAAATTAAAAAATTCTAACCCGGCAAGATGGTGGAAAGAAGTGAAAGCCATTGGTGGTCTCTCGTCAAAAAATTCTTGGTATTCTCAGCTATTTTCTGATGATGTTCGGAATTGCGAAGAACTGGCCGAAAATTTTAATAACTTTCTTACTGCCCTTACATCACATTTTGACCCTCTAACCCTCGACGAAATCCAGGAGGGCCTAGAAGTACCAAACCATTACCTCGTTGACGCCCAACAGATCTATAGGAAAATTAGTAAAATTAAAACCACAAAATCACCGGGTCCTGACATGTTTCCAAATAAAATCCTGAAAACATTTGCCTTTGAGCTTGCCCCAGTTATCTCAGACATTTTCAACTCATCCATGACACAAGGCACCTTCCCAAAGGCATTGAAGAGATCTATTGTAGTGCCTGCCCCTAAGGTATCACCCCCAAAGAGTATTGAAGACGACCTACGACCAATATCTTTAACATCTCAGATCGCCAAAGTTATGGAGGATTGTACTTTGGACAATTTTTTTCCTGAAGTTGTAAATAAACTTGACACCAAACAATTTGCACTCCCCAAGAAATCAACGACCCACGCTTTGGTCTACCTTTTACATTCAATCTTGGTTGCTCTTGAGAGAGGTTCCTGTACTGCCAGATTGTTCTTTGCAGATTTCAAGAAAGGTTTTGACCTAGTAGACCACAATGTTATTATTAAAGAATTAACCCTGCTTGGTACCCATCCCTCTATAATTCGGGGGATTAAAGCCTTCCTCTGCGATCGCGAACAATGTGTCCGGGTGGGAACTTCTATGTCCTCTTGGAAGAAAACAAATGGTGGCTTGCCACAAGGTACAAAGTTGGGTCCATTATTGTTTGCTGTTCTCATTAATTCCTTACTCAAAAACTGGCCAAGTAGGATCAAGTTTGTGGATGACACCTCAGCCCTAGAGATTATACCACGTTTTTCATCCAGTTTAATGCCATTAGTCGTAAATGAAATCTCGGACTACGCCTTAGAACGTGGAATGGAACTAAATTATAAGAAATGCAAACAAATGTTGATCAACTTTCTTAAATATAAAGGATCTGATGATGAAACCCCGATCTATGTTGCAGGTAAACCGGTGGAAACTGTGTCCTCTTTCAAACTCCTAGGTGTATGGATATCAAACGACTTGTCATGGAATACTCATGTCGACATGGTATTGAAAAAGGCAAATTCTCGCTTATACGCATTGCGTCGGTTAAAAAAGGCTGGTCTTCAAGCATCTGACATCGTCCAAATATATATCTCATTCATCAGATCCAGAATTGAATATGCATCCCCTGTATGGTCGTCAATACCTAAATCATTATCTGACATTCTGGAATCTGTTCAAAAGAGAGCATTGAGAATAGCTTATCCAGATCTGTTATATGATGAAGCCCTTGAAATTTCAAACTTACAGTATCTGAGTACTCGTAGAGACATCTCTTGCAAGAAATTCGTCGAATCTCTGCGACGTGATGTTTCACCCTACAACCCTTTGACCCAAATTATGGAAATTCGTCCCGGGGTAAAAACTCATGATTATGACTTAAGGAATGACAGAACGGCCGAACAACCTTTATGGTCAGAAACCACTGAACGGTTAAAAAACTTCGTGACTAGGAAATATTATTAGCCTTATAGTTAATTAACAGTCCTAACTAAATAAACATTATTTTATATAATATATATATATGTACATTTTAATATAAATTTTTATGCTATATTAGTACTCCATGTAATTCAGTTTTCCTTTAAAAACTGCAAATTGGTTTTAATTAAACAGATTGATTGATTGATTGATTGATTGATATGAAAACTTGAAAGACCCAGACAGTTGTTGCACTTGCGGACATAATTGTACTATTTCTCCAAAACGAAGCGACGTTTCCTTTAACGGTTTCATGTCCTTCTTGAATGATATTAAAGCAATAAATTCTTTGGCCTTCGAAGTCATTCTGCCTTGCCAAAATTGCAGTCATAGTTAGTCTTCTTGAAGCGCGTCATCTTGCCGGAGACATAAAACCACAAAATAGGGATCTAAACAGAAGTAGGCTTCAATGATCTGGTTTCTTCCACTTCACTTGGTGGAATTAATATTAGAATGCCGTTTTTAGGGTTTGTAATCCAAGTGATTATATATACACTTTAATTAAAACCTGACCAGGAACGACTGCGAAAAATGCAGCACAAGGTCCTCTGGTGCAGCGCCTAACTAAGTGAGCTACATCGATGGTTGTCCAATACTGTCGCATGCATACGGATCGTTCGTTTCGTGAAATTTTGGCTACGGATGGAAGACTTGTTTTGTCAGTCATAACGATTGATAAAGACTGAACGTCGATCCGTACCATTGGTAACGGATGGACTGGGAATTCACGATCGGAAAATATGAATTGTCGATCCGTGAATCTAGTGCTAAAGCTTGTGTGTGGCTAAGGGAGGCCTCAAAAATGTTGTCGATCCGTACGATTGGTAACGGATGAACTGCGAATTCACGATCGGAAAATATGAAATGTCGATCCGTGAATCTAGTGCCAAAGAAGTAAAGCTTGTGTGTGGCTAAGGGAGGCCTCAAAAATGTTGTCGATCCGTACGATTGGTAATGGATGGACTGCGAATTCACGATCGGAAAATATGAAATGTCGATCCGTGAATCTAGTGCTAAAGCGTGTGTTTGGCTAAGGGAGGGCTTCAAAATGTTGTCGATCCGTACGATTGGTAACGGATGGTCTGGGATTCACGATCGGAAAATATGAAATGTCGATCCGTGAATCTAGCAGTAAATTCTGTCATTACGATTTGTAAGCTATAAATATGTTTACTTTTAATATGGTTTGTGATTGCATAAGACAAACAAAAATGTTTTTAAGTTATTAAAAATTAAATAACAATAAACAATTGCAGACATGGGCGTACCAGAAGGAAAAAATTAGGGGGGCGGAATGAAATTTGCCCGACTTTTCGGGATTCTGCCCGACTAGTAGCGAAAAAATTTTTTCCGGAGAAATTATTTTTGCGACCGAAAATTTTCGGTCAGTGTACCATTTTAGGGGTCAAAAAATTTTCCGGACATACCAAAATTTTTCGGAACATCACACACATTTTCCAAACAACACAAAATTGACCACAAAATTTACTGAATTTCCGACAAATTAGACAGAATTTCCCCCATTTATTTTTTTAATAAACCAAAACTGCCCGACTGTTGATCGAATATTGCCCGACTGCCCAACAAACTGGGGGGGGCTACCGCCGCCCGCCCGGTACGCCTATGATTGCAGATATGTTATTAATGATATAGTATGGTTTCAAATACTTGCAATTTCAAGAATTTCGCGGTAATTTTTTATTATTTTTTTAAATCAACCAGTACGAAGAAACTCTGTGCAGAATGAGGGCGGTAAGGACGCTATTCATTTGAATACGATGCTGTTAGTGTTATAACGGAAGTGTCAATTGTGAGGTGACATGGTCATATACATAGTCAAAATACAATAGCAGCCGACAATTTCAAAAAATAAAAAACAAAATATAATCAGAAGATTAACATCTTGAAACCCAAGATATAGGTTAAAACAAAACAAAACAAAACTAAACAAAACAAAACAAAACAAAACAAAACAAAACAAGAACGATTTCTTAATTATATTTAGATTTTATTGAAAATAATCATGAGACTAAAACCAAAGTAACAATATTGCAACCGTATATTTTGAGAAGTTGGTAATGCATGACATCATCATACGGAAGTCTCAATCAAGGAACCATGACAGGTTTGCAGCGCAGGAGTGTGATAAAATGTAGGTGTAAGATTATGAAAAAAGCTTGAGTTCTTTCCCTGCTTTAATTAAGACCAGAATTTAAAGTAGGTGAATGATATTTAATATGAAGTGCTTCAAGCAACAAGAGGAAATTAGGTAACATGCGAGTGTTAATTAGGCTGCTTTCCACTGTTGCGTTTTTCCTATACGCACGAACAGGCACGTAAAACTTTAAATCCGTTTAAATGTTACTTATGAAATAACCAAATAAATAGAGCAACAGAATTTAGTGTTCCCCATGTTTTAGTATGCATTTGTTAACTTAACTATATTTAAAGTTTTACGTGCGTGTATAGGTGCATGCTGGGTTTGTATGTGTGTATGTGTGTGTGTATGTGTGTGTGTTTGTCTGTGAGCACGATTAAATAAAACTTTATACTGAATGCGTAATTAGGACGTGCATAATATATGCACCAGCCATTCAAATTCTAATAACAATAGATTACTTCAATAGTTTGCGCGTAGGCGGAGGTATCAGTCTCTGAGTGCCCTCTAGTTTTCTATGTAATGATTAACAAAATCTCCTAAATGATGTGCAGCGGTTGTTTTCTTTGTCTGTGTGTTCTCTCTTTCCGTGTTTCGACCTAGTGTGTTTATACCCATCATACAAATCTATCATCCAAAAAAAAATTGTGCATCTTTCACTATAGTGATCTAGCCCGACATCTAGCCCTTTACGGTTATTACCAGGCTATATCTAGCCCTTTACGGGCAACCAGTACCTATTTTTGATATATTATACTAAGTGAATTGTAATAGTGTAATAGTTTTTTTCTTGGGGTACAAATAAAGTGTTGTTGTTGTTTAGTCTTTTAAACGTAATTGTAGAGCTATTATAATTAGATACCACGAGTTTTTCGTTGTACCATTAGATTTTTGAATAATCTCAGCTATTTAGACTTATAATTACGTATAACTCATGTCATTATTAGTATTCAAAGCAAACCAATGGAATGTCTATATCGAAAATCTGTATCTCGCTTAAAAAGTGCAACGAAACATTTCTGTACGTATGCTATGGACAAAAGCCAAGTTGCAATTTAGACAATTTGTGAAGGATAACCAATTGGCTTCCAACCTCGTACCCAGGGCTAGTCGCGAATTGAAGGCGGCGACATAGCCCACTGAGCTCTACTATATATATCTGGAGACCGTGCTCCCATATCTCGTCAAACAAAAAAGTGTCCGCAAAAACATGGCGGATTTCGAGCTCCGCGTCCACTATTTTCGGGCGATTTACCACTGACCACATAATATTTTGAAAGCCACCTGTTTTCGCACCCCCCTGGATGCAAAACACTGTGTAATTATTAAACTATCAAGTTTCACAACTTTATATTTTGTCAACATGCCGCGTTAATATTGCTCGGTTTATGGTTGTCACAACTCCTTTGACAAAGACGGATTGTATTCACACTGTCACTGGTAAGGAAATATTATTTTGTGCTTAGATATCATTCGAGAAGTTTTTTTCTGCAAATGACAATGTAAAGCAAACGGTAGTTTATGTTTTGTTCACGTGCATGTGTCACCAGCTTTTCTCGACTATGGCTTCTTTTCTGAGGTTTTTGCATGCAGTTTGTTTCATTCAAATATTATATTTCCATTGTTCCTTGTGATGTTCTCGTGTGCGTTTTTCCTACCTACTGTACAGTGTATTTTATAGGCCTGTTTGTATTTATGAAAGCATATTGTTATTGAATTTTTTCCCTTCACATATTTAAGTATTCCTGATGCAAAGAAGCATCCAGAGTTGTACAGCATATGGGTTGAGTATATGAATAAACATGCGACAGTGAAGTCTGTTCCTGCGAAAAGTAGTCGTCTGTGTTCAGATCACTTTAGTGCTGATATGTATGAGATAAAGGGCAAAAGCCAGAAATTAGTATTGAGACCGGATGCTAATACCAACAATAGTTACACAAAGGTTTGCTCAGGTCATTGGTGCGATTTAAAGTGTTAAAGTGTTATATGTAACAGTGTGCATGAGTTACATTCTTTGCTAAGGGACAAGTCATTATTAATGCCGGGTAGGGGGCTGGAGGAAATTTTTATGAATAGCAAAAATTTTTCATGACCCCTTATTTTTCTAACAAACTATTTTATCCCCCCCCCTTATTGAGGCAACATATTTCATAGCCCCCCCTCCCTCCACCCCAATTCTGAATTCAATTACTCTAAGTCAGTTTCATAACCATTTTTCCTGCCCTCATACTCAGTTTACTAGCAGATGTAAAGAATATTGTAAATATTGAAAATAAAGAATATTGTAAATATTGAAAATGATAGCCAAGTAGATAATTCAGACTTTATACCTGAAAAGTTGTTGGTCCTCAAACAAAAAACCCACAAATCAGACCTACTTTTACTAATTGAAAAAAATACATTTGTGTCTGGTGGAAGCATTACTGTATATTGAAGAGATGGCAGAAGAGACTGTCAACAACATGCAGAAACAGAACATGCAAAAGAGGTCCACTGTGTTAAAAGCAGGACAACAACTGTCAACTGAATCTTGCATTTGCAAATGCAGTGCATGACCCTTTAGACAAATTCTCTGGTGATGATGAGGATGACAATTTCCATATACAGTGCCTAGAACACAACTTTTAGGTTCAATATATTGGGCATTACTGTTCAATGTATGTATACTGTATATATCCATCACTCTTTTGATATTGCATGTTATAAACTATAGATTTTATTTTTTGCCCCCCCCCCCTTTATGTTCAAAATATTTTCTCCCCCCCCCCTTCACTGGTCAAAATTTTTTTGTGGCCCCTCTATATTAAAATTTATTGTACATTTACTA